CTCATCTTTTGTGTAAAGGCTGCTTTCAATAGTTTCAGTTTGAAAGTATGTGAATTATTTGGTACCGATTAATTATTATTTGGAGCAGGTGATTATAACTTGGGAACTCCGTACTACTGAATTAAAAGTGTTACACAGGGTTTTTATGAAAAAATGTTGTTTTAAAACAGGTACTCATATCTTCACGTAAGATAATAGGGTTTTTGTTCCATTGAGAAATAGAAAAGTATGTGAAATTTCCCCATTTCAGGTAACATTTACGGGTGTTGTTGTAGTGTTCAGCGGATTAGTATTCTTTTATGCGTTAGTAAATCCAAATGAGGCTCCGAGATTTCTAAAAGTGATCAATGGTGAGTACAATATCAATAATTCATTTTTGAAACTTGTGTAACGCTTACACGATTGAGTCTAATTTTGCTTGATTACTGCAGTGGACGGTACCTAATTTTACGCTATCACGAACTTTGTGTTTTGTTTTGAGAAAGTGTGCAACAGTATTAAAAATCAGTAGACAGAGGTGGTTGAGTTTTCGCAGGTTTGTGTTAAGATGACAGTCATTTGACACTTGAATTATCGGGCTTTGAACTAATAATTTCTTTTGAGATGAATTTATATATTTCTCAGTGCGCAATAAAGATAACTCTGGCTAACATCCGCCGTAACATCCAAGTTGTACGATTTGTCGGTCAATTTAAAGAAGCATAGGAAAACGTTTTGTGGGGCAGAATAAACAGCCGAAAGTACAATACCTCTGAGAGGTCATAACAGTCACTGTGTGTCTAGAAAAATCATCGCTTTTGAAGACACGTCATCACGTATGTGTTTTTTTTTTTATTTCTGATGGTAGTTACTGCAATGAGGTAAGTCGATAACTTTGGCCGAGCACTGTGTATCCTAATCTATCAAATTCACCGTCAACCTTCGGGCAATCAATATTGTTGAGTTAAATAAATATGTTTTATTTACAATTTCACTGCTGAGAAAAGGTAAATTTCTTTTGCTAATCGGAAAGTTATCAACAGTTGTCGAAAACTTGGCCTCGGATTTTTGCTGTTTATATTCATTTTGGCCTTCTCAGATAAAATGACAAATATAACTTGCCATTGGCTATGCTGTCGACCAGACGTGAAAAAAGGTGTGCAGAAGATTGACAAGAATGATAGCGACGAACTTCAAGGCCTCGACGATTCATCAAAGACATAGGTTTTGGTTAGTGTTGATACGAAATTATGTGGGTTGGCACTGAAGCACTGTCGAGGCCACTATTGATGTGACCATAGAGAATCAGTTATTAAATTTGAAATCTATGAAATCTTTAAGTTCCATAGTGTTATCGTTGTTGATTTGTTATGGTGGACTGTCGGTGTACTTCATGTTTTTCTGTATTTTTCGTGAAACTTTTGGTGAGACGCTTTATCTATTGATAAATAGGTCAGATCTTCTCCAGCACTCCGAACATCAATTCTAGTCTCCTAGGGATAATATTGTTGTTTAATGTCTCTGTTTTTGTTGTTATGACATGGTTATGATTGCGAAAATTGTTGAAACTACTCAAAAAGTGTTATTGGGTTCTTGTAATGTGCACTTTTTTTTCACTAATTAAGTTTTCTAGTTATTAGTTCTTATATCATTCACGTCTTTGCTTCGTGTCCGATAAGTAATCTTTTAAACTGTCTTTCATCCTATCTGATCAAAGTTTGAAAGATAAGCATTTGCTAACTCAAACTTTGAGCGATTTGGTGTGCTGATTTATAAAAGCTTAATATAACCTATTGAAAATATGTCATGTATGCCATAAAATTCGTTCTCATACTTTCTAATATTCAGTTCCTGATCAAATCTAGAATCTCAATTCAGATATACTTTCTTGAGAGGACAGAAAATGTAGGAACCTGAATATTTGAAGCGAAGAATACAAGGGTAGTGAAAGGTGGAAGTGGTTAATGCGCTGTTGCTATGTGAAACAATGTTCATATGAACTTCTCGTTTCGAGCTTTTTCTCAAGACCACCCTCAATTTTCAATATATCTAGTAATTGATATACCCAGTGAAGCAGAGTGATGTTCAAAATCTTTGCGTCGGGCGGGACTCGAATCCCCATCTTACTCTATCCGGGACCGTGCTTTAATCCGTTGCACTACTGACGCTCGTATAGAGTTGACAGAGAGAGATATTGGTTCGAGTCGCGCCTGACGCAAAGGATATCAGTAACATCATACAATCGCCAGGGGTGGTCAAATTAAAAGAATTTCATTTAATCTGATAATCATTCTTTGAGCCAACATGCCACATGGTCTGTTATGGGCACTTGTGCGGCTCGATACACGTGTTTCGGCCTTGGTAGTCTTGTCAGTCGGGCAGGCCCTTGACTTTAGCCAATCCTCTCAGGGGCCGAAACACGTTTATCGGCTGTACCAGTGCACATAACAGACCACATGGATGGCTCAAAAAACGATCATCAAGCATATTGCAATTTGAGCGTGGTCTCAAGAAACAACTCGAAACGAAAGGTTTGAAAAAGAAAGGTAAAAATGAAAGGTGTATCTAAGGATACCAGTCAAGAGCAATCAAGTGTAAAACACTGCCCATTTAGTGATATTTTGACTTAATGACATGTGTGTAAAATGACTATTGACTTGTGTGTGTAAAATGTTCGTCGCCTCTAACGCTGCATAGGAGTTGAGTTCTTCCGAGGGGATCGGCTAAAGACGAAGGGTACCGCTCGACTGACAGAGCTGTTAAGGCCGAAACACGTGTATCGGACTCCATAAGTTTGCCCATATAGACCACATGTATGATTCAGAAGATGATTATTAGGCATATTGAAATTTGGTGGTCTTAAGAACACACTTGAAACGAAAGGTAATAAATAATGATAAGTAATAAAAAGATGACGTTATGCTTTCGGCGTGTATTGCTTGAGATTTACAGTGGACTTTTATAATGAAGTAGGATTTTGCGTATAAGCAGGATTTTTTGCTGCGAACAAGTAGATCAGTATTGGAGACTCTTACGTAACGTATCTTTAGAAAAAAACGCTCAATTTTCCTGAAAATTCCCACTTTTTACTCAAAATGGTGGAGTGCAGTTGCATTGTTTGAATGTTTCCTTACTTTTTTTTTTCGAAAAAAAAGCCTATCTATCAACTATAAGTAATCATGCCATAGGTCGAGAACTGAAGATTTGAGCACTCGGTGTAGTTTCTGAAGAGACTCTCACAGTAAGTTCCATTAACGAAACGGAGATTACAACTCTGGCCGAAGCGCGTTGTTTAACTTCACAGCGGATTTTGGTATTTTTTAGTAAAGTTTTGATTCTAAGCAAACTGTTGCTACAGAATAAGTCGTTGTTAAAGGGGTTCTTTACACAAATCTTGGTAGAATGACCGTCCTGTTTGTTATGCTGAAGGTCCCTACGTTTCACTACAAAACATTCACCCATGGAAAAGCATCGCTTCTCCAGATTGCAACTGTGCATAATGTTCGTAGTTGTGCAAAAGTGGATATATATAGGAAGTACTCCAAAACCAGACGTGCTTTCTCGTTGGTACTGTAGACTATGATGGCTTTTCCAGAAACCAAGTTGTGTGTTATAATCCTTATTTCTAGGCTATCGAGTTACTACTAATAAGTCAGTGGAGTAGCAGAAAGTGCTACTTATCGATCATAGGTACAAGTCACCGCAACTAGGGTTATTTTAGTGTTAATGTGCGAGGAAAGGTATTTTGTTGTTGAGCGATGATGACTGCATAAGCGTTAACTGTTGAATATCTGGAGTAGAAAATTTAAAATATCAGTCAAAAGTGTGCAATTTGAGTGAAGGAAATGCATTTTTTCGAAGAACTACCTCACAAATTCATGAATACGAACTCTATCAAGTTTTCCACCGACAGCATAAGCTTCCTCCAGATAAGTCACTTATAAAAGTTATGCAATGTATACAAAACGTTTTTGTAATGTACTCTTACAATATCGTCAATATGTTAAAATACAATATAATATAGAAAAATGTGAAAATGAGAATGCGTTCTTATTTCAAGGGCTAGCTTTCATGTTTGAAAGCAGGTATTTTCAAGACAGTTGGGCGTTATTTTAACTACGAATACGCTTTGAAGCTACTTTCAATAATAGTCAATGTTTTTGTAGTGACAAAGTTTACCTAGAATCAAAAATCTGCTATGTAACTATCAACAAAACGCTCTCTGAAGTTCAAACAACAGGCTAATCAAACCGGAACTAGATCGTTATTATTTATTCGTTATTAGAGCATACTGTGTATTTTTTAAAAAGCAGGCTCAATAGTGAACTGGAAACTTTTCGTGCTATCGCATAACTACAAAAGTAATGAGAAAGAAACGAAAAATATCACTTAATAGCAGCTGTAAATCAGTTTCTCTTTGTAAGGATGTGTTTCTCACATGAAAACAGGGAGTTATTTAGCACATGGTTGTTCTTTTACTACAAATACCTTTACTTAAGTTTTTAGTGACATTCTATCGTTCTGCAAAAACAAATTGCTTCTATCGAATAATCTCATAAATATCAATAAACCCATTGTGTGTAGTTCGAACGATGGGAAAACTGCGGGCGCAAAACTTAATATATTTTTCGCTTTTACAGAGTTATATGGAATTTTTTCAAAAGGCAACTTCGAATTCAGAATGATCGAATTTGAGCTATCGACTGGCTATCATTTTGACGCTAAGCCAATCACAAACTCCAGCCGAGCACATAACGCAAAGCGAGTGTGGAATATAATCTTATTTTTGAAGCTACAACGCAATAAGAAAGACTTTTCAGAAAGCAAGCACATTTTGAAATTGCAGAGACCTAAACTCCAAATGATTACTAGAAGTCTAAGAAAACAGTTTTCCCAGCAAAAACGCCTTCGAACTACCGCATACCAACATGTACACGCAGTCAAGAGCCGACCAATGGCTCCAGCTTATAAACCTAAAAGAATTGAGAAAAATTAGCAAAATAGAGTGGTGGTGCGAATGTACCTCGGCGGTGCAGTGGTAGCACGTGTCCCTGATATGGAGGAAACGCGGATTCGGCTCCCGTCTGAGTTCGTATTTTTGCTCACCACTCAATTCTCTTAGGTTATATCAAACATCATAACACTGCGAAAAAAACAGTAAAAACACTAGATTTCGCGGCTCCGACTTAAAGATGTGAGTCTCAATTAGTGTGCAGAAAGTTCTGGTTACTGGTGTGGCCGAAGTTTTCCCTGCGTTGTTTTTCAAACAGGATGTTCATAATATTGACAGTGATGCGCGGTTTCAGTCAGCGGATAGCGGATTGGCCTACGTTTCCGCGTCCGTTTTTTCGTATACCATGGACGGTAGCCCTCATCATACGAATTTCCACAGAGATGAACTTTCCAGGGGTATGGTTATAGCTTTAGATGCGAAAGGTTCTTGTCTTGATTGCCGAACTTGCAGAACTTTTGACACAAATTTCTTGAAGTGCATACAATTTTAGTGCTCAAAATTAAGTTAAATTCTATGTCGAAGAAACTGCTAACTGTTTCAGTGGTAGCTCAGAGCATGACGATGGCGAAGTGGTCATGTAGTGTCATTCTCGTTTTGGATGCGAGGAGTGTGTTTTTCACTCACCGGTCTAGATCACATTTCCGCCTCGGTCAATTAGTAAACCATGCGCAGGGAGCTTTTGAATTCTCACGAAGATCCACAAGAAGAAACTGTCAGAGTTGAGTTCCTCCAGCTTTGTAAGAAACAAACTTGTTCGAATCACGACAATGGGCTAAATCCCCCACCCAGAATTTTTGTAAGGTAAAGAATTTAGTGCTCATTATCGAACGACATTTCTCAGCGAAAAATTCAATGTTTTCAGGGTGGTTCAAAACATGTTCGTGGCTAAATGGTATTGAAATTATTCACGATTTGTGTGCAAGTGGTTCCGGTTCCAATCGTCGGGTTTTTCTCAAACTTTCGCTTTATCTGTTTAGTAGATTATGCTGCACCTCCAAATCACACGAAACTTTGGGTTGAAGAGATTTTTCTAATGATTCTATATGTGGCTCAGAACTTGTTGTCGGTATGGGTCTGATCGAGTAAGCATTTATTGCCATTGAAGCACGCCTCCCACTTCCTCCCTCCATCCCCTCCAGGGGTAGAACACGGGTATAACTCCGTCCTGGGTGCAGTTTCTGCGTATCACTCAATATCCTTAGATGTAACTTTACATCACATACCACTGTTAGAAAGTAACAATTCAAAAGTTCGACTTTTTATATACCTCGGCATAATTAATTGCTATATAAAAATCGAGAAAACTTTTCTTGATAAGCTGACTCGAGTTAGGCAAATTTGTCGTAGTAATTCGGCTGACGTTTCGGCGAGCCGCCTCCTTCAGAGCCTGGGCATGTGTAGTACTAGTTTATTTGAATGATTCGGAGGATCTTATTAATATGCTGCCTAGGTCAGGTTAAAAGATCAAATGAAGAAAGGGCGGAGATCTCGCGTGCTGGTGACGCACTCGTCCTTCCGGTTCATTCCGGTTAGAAAGTTATAGAAAACAAATTATTTTGATGTGAAATTACTGAGGGGTTCATACAGAGTTCTTATGTAAGTTAGAAAAAGGGAAGAGATTTAAGCGTATCTGCTTCTACCTAATTTCAATTCATCGTCGTCAACAGACGACGTTCGCGGCCAAACCATTTTCTAGGTTAAATTTAAAATTTTGAAACCAACGTCGAATTATGCACTGCCAGACTTATCCTCGGCTTATACCTCATTAATGCCGCTGTTTGCTATGGGTAAATCCAAATTTGATTACGAAGAACTACACTACTTGAAGCTAGAAATGATATACGGACATGTAAAACTCATAATCTTCGATAATAACTAGTTGACTATGTCTCATGTCAACACTATCGCTATAGCAGTTTCTTTAAAAAAAGAGTTTCTTGATATGATTTCTGATTTTTTAGCGTGCACAAGGTTCATGATAACATTTGAACGGACAAAGTTTCGACGCCTTCGTTTTTTTCATGGCCGATGGTTCGTGCCGACTGTCTACAGTACCTTTTCGCCGCGTAATGCTCTCTGTAAAGTCAGATCTTTTTCGGTGAAGTCAGGTCGTGCCAAGTAACCTCGTTCAGCAGTCTCCTTCCATACAAGGCGGTTATTGCTTAATATTGAATGTCGATGGGAAAAAGTTTGTATCCATTACCACAGTTCATCGTGTAGCACTCGGTATAAGATTCGTTGATATACGGCGAGGCAATAAAATTAAATTAGTATCAAGCACAAATCATTCAGTATTAAATTAAATCGTACAGCGAAGTGCTCTGTTAAAGCGGGAAGCCAGTAATTAGAATTCGTCTTGAACGACTACGAGAAACATTACAGGAAATCGAACGACTGTGGATAATCGACGCGAATCATCCATCGCCTCTCAAGAAGACTTCGAGATAATTGCGGAGTAGACATTATTACCAACCTCATTTAAACTCGAGAACCTGGAAAGCATTTTGATATTCATGTCGATGTTAAACCAAAGTCATTTTTGAACTATTTCAGGGTAATGGCAGAAACGGCAGTTTTCACAAAGCTATTTATTAGTTTCATAAATACCTAAGAGAATTTAGTGGTGAGCAGAACCACGGCCTCAAGTTGGGATCGAACCCCCGTTTCATCCATACTGGGGACGCGTGCTTCTGCCACTACACCACTGCAGCACATTTGCCCCACCGCTCATTTTTCAACATCTCTATGTTAGCTGTCAGCCACTAACCTCTAACAGCTTTGGTCGGGTATGCTATTTCCCTTTATAAACCCAGTTGAGCTGACAGGCATTGTAAAAACTTATACTCGAAAGTTCTAGTATTTTCACTGCATTTTTCGCAGTGTTACAATGTTTTATAAATAACTACGAGAATTGAGTGGTGAGCTATTTATTAGATAGTTAAAATTTTGGTAATGATATTCGTTTCAAGAAAACGAAAAACTTTTCGACTGCGAGATTGTCCTAACATATATCTCCATCTGCTTAACTTTTAGGACAATTTATTGTTGAATGAAAAGTGCAGAATACCTCATGATTATTATTTGAGCCAACATATCATGTGATCTGTTAAGGGCCTCTTGTACAGCCCGATACACGTGTTTCGACCTCACAGTCTCGTCAGTCGGACAGAACCTGTGTCTTTAGCCAATCCTCATGCGGCACTCAGTCCTCTATACTAAGAGTAGGGATGACGAACGTTTTACACTGTAAGTCAAGTGAGAATATCCTCGAATATACAGTGCTGCACATCGTTTGCTTTTTGACTGGATTTGTGTATATACCTTCATTTGCCAAAGAGCAATCGAGTGTACAACACAGAATGATCGGTGTTATTCTCACTTGACTTACAGTGTAAAGCGTTCATCGTCGCCTACTCTTGGGATAGCTACTGAGCGCCCCAAGACGATTGACTAAAGGCGACGGGTTCTGCCCGACTGACGACACTATAACTTCGAAACACGTGTATGGGGCTGTACAAGAGCCCATTAACAGACCACATGACATGTTGGCTCAAACGATAATCATGAGATATATTGGAATTTGAGCGTAGTCTCAATGAAACACTCGAAATAAAGGAAAGTTTCAGTATTATGCTGACATACATTTCCTACGATTTATCATCACGGCTTTTCGACATCACATCAAAAGTTAAGTATTTGCTTTGACATAAAACTTTAATCGTCTATCATCAGAACTCTATAATTATCGCCTACTTCCGCCGGTTCTGTAACTTACTTCAGTAGATTGCCCATCCTTCAGCACTAGACGATTTCATCAATAAAATGGGCCTATATTCATTAACAATCCAACCACAAAGGCGCATGCACAAAATTTTTTCAAAGGACGCAATAGTCTAAGAAGTTTAAATCAATGTGAATCAGAGTTTTTCAGGAATGAGCCTTACCTGGATCATCGACAAAATGTTGGTTCGGCGAACTCGTTTTGCCCTCAACAAGAATAATATAGTGATAAGCGGAGTTAGCAATGTGTACTTGGAAAGCGGCTGAAATAAAAGTTGGAAAAATTTTTAGGGAAAGTGCTCTTAAAACAAATAGAGCAAAGAACGTTCCGGTGATTCTCATCAATAGAACCAAAATCTCGCGATATAGAAGCAAAGAAAAGTGCGAGCGATGTGTTCGCTAAACATAGTGACCAAAATATTCATGAAAACTGCCAACTCCTAAAAATTCTTCCAAACCTTCGATGAATGCACAAAACATTTCATCTCAACGCTTCCGGCGCCATCGAGTTTCGGTATGTTATATCATAAGTATCGCATAGCATGACCCGAACAAATGAACAGTCTTCCGTTACTAAATGTCATGGGAATTTCTAGTCTTAATGCACATCTTCTCGGCTGTCTTGTCTCAAAGTACACGTGAAAAGGACGAACATCGTATAGACAGGATGGAATCTCATCAAGAGTTATGCAGAATTTGATTGGAGTGATAAAGCTAGAAGTATTCTCTTATCTAAGTGAGGGGATGAGGAAAATCTGAATTTCATACAAAGATCAGTGATCAGCTGAGTAGAGGCATATTTCGAGCAGTCTAACTTGTGATATGCGCCAACGCTAGCAGACCAGAAGGACAGCGTTAATCATCTCAAATTCACCGACCCAATTTGTACTGTACAAATGATTAGCAAGTGAAGATCATGGAAAACTGAGGCATTTTCATCTTTGTAATTCTCAATTGCATGCATAAACATAGGGTGTGTACATCGTAGTGGTCTATATATTCATGCATTTTGACAGCATTCAGCAGTAACTATAGAGTACCTAAAGATCATGTGTCATAGGAAAAGTACTACTAAAACGTACACTAGCGCAGTCACATGTCATACTTTTCGCCATGTGCTAATAGAAGCAGCGTAGAGAGAATTACAAAAGGGCTTACGTAAAGAGCGGTAAAGGTAGTGACCATAACAAGCACGGGTATTGTAACTCCACTGAACAGATTCTTCAAACCAATTATTGCTATGTAATAGACGAGAAAGGCGGTGACTTGCAAAATGAATGATGTGAAGAGCAAGCGGGATGATATCCGAGTCTCCTAAACTTGTAAGCGAAGATTGGTAGCATGTGTCGATCTGAATGGAAAATAAAAAGGAAAAAATGTAAGGCTTGGCACATATCGGGAATTCCAACAATTTCTGTAAATTCTCGCTTTCCATTTATCAAGTTTATTTCCTAGTTTGAACTGTCAGAGACAACTGTCACACTGCTTTACGTAGCAACAATGTCTTCTTCGCATTCACGTAGCTTTGAGTATTTTGAAGGTCCATTCGGTTAGCTTAGTTGCCTTTTAGAGGACGGCAGTTGATAGGAAGCGACATCCGCGGTGAGTTCTCGCTCGACAATAGGCTCAGCAGATCTTCACAATGATGAAGCTTCGCAAACGAATTCACAGCCATCACCAGTAGAGGGATTTGAGATAGCAATTGGTGAAATATGATCGAAGAAACTTCAGAGAGGGTATTTGTGATTTAAACATACCAAAACACTAGCAAAAAAATGATAAAGGATAAAGGATAAAGTTCTCGTTTGATGACAAAACAATGATAGTTGGTCGAAAATGATACTGCACAATGCGTGCAATGCCTCTTCAAAAATAGCTGTCACAGTTTTCCAATTACTATTGTATTGCAAGACTTAAGACTTCTACAGAGCTGTGGAAGAAAGTCCTTTCTAATGTCTTATGAGTAATTCGTAGAAGAAGCGTAGATAATATGATAGAAGACTTTGGCAAGGCTATCGGCAGTAGAAGTAACTTCGTTATTTCTTCTAAAACTGCGTATTATTGGAAGAAAAATTTGAATACTCGAAAAATCATATTTCATAATTTTGTCAAACTGTTTTATGTTATCTCAATATATCGTCCATATTTCACACGTATTTATCTTTCACTCATCATACTCACGACAAGTATTTTTCGTATTTTGCTTCAGAAGAATAAATTCTAAAATCGTCAATTAGTAAACATTTTTAATTCTAAAACCAGATGGTACGTCTCAATCCCTTCATCTTGATGTCTTCTTATTTTACAAAACGCCTGAAATTACGCGCTTCATGCGTGTCACCTCAAATAAATCGCAATGATTTTTCCGATGTTTAGTGTAGTTCACGAATTCGGACCTATGTATAATTTATAGAAGAGACGCTATCGTTCCTTCGATGCTCACTTCTTACTACCTACCGATGCTCTACGATGAACGTTATTTATCGCTGAAAGCTTCGTCACTGGTCATGTGCACTGACTTTACTCCATTTCTTTCTTCTTCGTCCAACTTACCTTCGAGATGATTTTCTAGAACGTGTGCAGTTTTCACCTTTCCAAATAACTGAGGTGAGACCAAATGCAAGTGGTTTTGAAGGTTCGTCGGTAAATTAGTGACCTATTTGTCCGCTCAACTACTTCCGGTGGATATCCTCCTCTACTTCTATCACTATGAGTATCGCTTTTCTGACTGTGCACTCCCAAAAACTTGTTTCACACTACCCACTATTCGATCCCTCGGCACATATTGTCATCGGAGATTGGCCTTCGGATGTGCTCAACTGAGCAGAATACGAGTCAATTTGTATCTGAGGGAGCCTCAAGGATGAGGAACGTAGTGACAGGCTAAGAATGCTTACAATGACTAACTGAAAACAATCATGGAGGTGGTGCTCTTGAGACTATATGAAGTATACCCAATATGTGGAGTACTGTGCAGAAACGTCTGCGTCAGCCCGGATTCGAACCCAGATCTCACTCTTTCCGTGAGCGTATGCTAACCATTGCACTACCGACGCTCGCTTTGTACAGCACTCTTATTTACGCTACAACGCGTTGTCTGCTATATGAAGTTGCAGAAGAACTCAGCGTCGACAATTCTACGATCGTTCGCCATTTGAGAAACCTGGAAAAGTGAGGAAGTTCGATAATTGGGTGCCTCATGAACTCGTCCGAAATCTCGAAAACCTTCTCGATCGCATTGTGACGTGTGACGATAACTGGATATTATACGAGAGCCGGCGACGACGATCAGCTCAGTGGCCGCGAACAAAGTCCAAAGTACTTTCTAGAGCCAAAACTTTCACCCAAAAAATTAGGTCACGGTCAGTGTGCGTTGGTCTGCTGGCGGTCTGATTCGCTACGGCTTTCTGAATCACGGCGAAACCACTACATCTGAGAAGTATGGTCACCAAAATGATAAGATGCACCGAAAACTGCTACGTCGTGCAGCCGGCCATAAGTCCTTGCAGAGAAAAACGCCTCCACAACCAACAGGTTTCAGAAGAAGCTTTCTAAGAGTTCGTCAAATTTTGGAACACCAAGTTTAGATCAAATTAATGAAGAAAACTTGATTCTCGTTTGCAAAATGTGTTGATTGCTATGGTTCCTACTTTGATAGATGGAGAAGTTTTTGCGCCTAGTTATCATGATGCAATATGCCCGATCCAAAACCGCCATTACTATGCCAACTATAGTTTATAGGCTATCCCCAGTTTTTTTCGAATTATCACGACAACTATTTAGAAAATCTTCAGTCGGCGCATATCATAATGAGGAAAAGTGACTGGAAAAATTTGGTAATTTCTGTTATCCGCTTCCAGTTTCAATCTCGTGGAAAGTCATTTTCGGAGGTATCGAGGTGTGCGAAGTCATTCGACAGCTTAACTTCCAAAAAATTCGAAAACGTATTTTGGTATTTCTATAAGGAAACAAATGAAAGACCGATCTCATTCGCTGGGTTGATGGGAGGGGGGAGGACTTTTCATAGGAGCGTAGTAACATCGAGCTGAGAATTCAAATACATCATTACTGCCATTACTCGAAAAATCTTTGCTGGACGTTGCTGCAGGAGCAAATTTTTGCGTTACAATAGTGCATATTTCTCGCCGGACAGAGCTCTTTTTGGATTATGAGTAATCATTCGATAGCATAATAGCTTCTGTTTCTAATGCAGTGCTTATTTTCTATGGGGTGGTGGGAGGTAAGGCGAGGGCGAGGGCGGATGTGGCAATCTTCACGCGACCATCGTTCAATTCGGGCTTGGCTGGTGGCATATTCCTTGCTGTACTGTACCAAGAGAAACCGTTTTTTCCAGAAAGTAAGCACAACGTTGAAATTAGCAAACATTGCGTATCGAATGATTGCGTATAGTTCAAAAAGAGCTCAGTGTCTGTGCGAGGTGTAAGCACAAATCCTTCTTTCTGGCTGGAGGCTATTGAAAGAGCTTTTTCTAAAATGCAATCATAATTTTGAGATTCCCCTCTGTCCTCGCCTCTCTATATATGTTGCTTTCCGTGACCTTTCCTCGCCCTCGTCTCTCTCCTTTCCCTCTCCCCCTTTCCTTCTCCTTTCCTCTCCTCTTCGCTCTTTTCGTTATCCAATTCCTTCCTTATTCGTCTGACTCCTCTTCTCTCCCCCTTCTCTCCCCTCTTCCCTTCTCTTTTTTTCCTCTCTCTTTCCCTTTTTCCCCCTTTTCCCTCCTCTTTCTCTCCCTTTCCTCTCCCCTTTTTCCGCCCCTTTCTCCCTCTTTTCCCTCTTTTTCTCCTTTCTCCTTTCCTCTCCTCTCTCGTCCTTCTTTCTTCTCTCCCTCCCCGTCTGTGTCTCGTACTTCCCCTTTTTCTCCACTTCCCCCCTACTCTTCTGTTTCCCTTCTGTTTTCCCTTTTCCCTTCTCCCCTCTCTCCTTCTTTCTCCTCCCTCTTTTCTTCTCCTCGCCTCTCCCTTTACCCCTATCTTACCGTCTCCCTTCTCTTCTTATCCTATTTTCCTTTCCTTCAGCTCTCTCTCTCTTCTCTCCTCGTTTTTTTCCCCTCCCCCTCACCCTCTCTCTCCCCTGAGGCTCCCTTCCATTTTCCTCTCCTTTCCATCTGCGCCCTGCTTCGTACTCAATCGCGATCCCTTTTCCCCTTCCTTCCACCCTCTTTCTGCCTCTCTTCACCCTTTCTACCCCCTCTCCTGATCTTCTCTGTTTATAGTTCCCTTATCCTTTTGCCTTATTCCCTCTCACTATCTCTACTCTTCGTCTCTACCCTCTTTTTTTTCCTCCCCTCTCTCCTCCTCCCCCTTTTTCCCCTTCCTTCTCCCTCCTTTCACTCTTCCTCCTCTCTGTCACTCTTTTTTTTCTTCCCTCCCTCTTTCTCCTTCCCCCCTTTTCCCTTCTCCCTTTCTTGTTCCCTTCCTTTTCCTTTCTCCCCT